CAAATGGCCAACAGACACATGAAAAAATGCTTAACATCACTTAGCATCAGGGAAATACAAATCAAAACCTCAATGAGATACACCAGTCAGACCAGTCAGAATGGCCAAAATTAACAAGTCAGGAAATGCCAGATGTTGGTGAGGATGCAGAGAAAGGGGAACCCTCTTACTCTGTTGGTGGGAATGCAAGCTGGTGCAGCCACTCTGGAAAACAGTGTGGAGGTTCCTCAAAAAGTTGAAAATAGAGCCAGCCTATGACCCAGCAATTGCACTACTGGGTATTTACCCCGAAGATACAAATGTAGTGATCCGAAGGGGCACCTGCACCCCAATGTTTATAGCAGCAATGTCTACAATGGCCAAACTATGGAAAGAGCCCAGATGTACATCAACAGATGAATGGATAAAGAAGATGTGGTATACAGATATATATACAATGAAATATTACTCAGCCATCAAAAATAAAATCTTGCTATTTGCACAACATGGATGGAACTAGAGTACTATGCTAAGCAAAATAAGTCAATCAGAGAAAGACAATTATCATATGATCTCACTCATATGTGGAATTTAAGAAACAAAACAGAGGAGCATAAGGAAAGAGAGGAAAAAATAAAACGACAAAATCAGAGAGGGAGACAAACCGTAAGAGACTCTTAATCATAAGAAACAAAATGAGGGTTGCTGGAGGGAGGGGGTTGAGGGGATAGGGTAACTGGGTGGACATTAAGGAGGGTGCGTAATGTAATGAGCACTGGGTATTATATAAGACTGATGGATCACTGACCTCTACCTCTGAAACTAATAATACATTGTATGTTAATTAATTGAATTTAAATAAAAATAAATAAATTAACAAAAATAAAATAAATGACTCAAAATAAAGTAGCATACTCTTCCTTTTTGGAAATATGGATATTTTTAAATGCCAAAAGGAATAACTGAAAGAGTTAAAAAGCCTTCCAAGGTTGAAGACTGAGGAGGGGCAGGGCAAGGAATAGGTATATTTTGTTATAAACCTTAGGTAGTTTCTTTGTTTTGTTTTGTTTTGTTTTTAGATTTTATTTATTTATTTGACAGAGAGAGAGACACAGTGAGAGAGGGAACACAAGCAGGGGGAGTGGGAGAGGGAGAAGCAAGCTTCCCGCCAAGCAGGGAGCCCGATGCAGGGCTCGATCCCAGGACCCCGGGACCATGACCTGAGCTGAAGGCAGACGCTTAATGACTGAGCCACCCATGTGCCCCAAGCCTTTGGTAGTTTTAAACTATACATAAGTTACTTTGCAATAATAAAAACTAATTTTAGAATAAACAAAAATATAGCATAAGCCTTTATTAATAAATGATGATATAACTAGACAGGTTTTTTAAATGAGATAAATTTAATGCAATCACATAGATAATATCCATTCTTACATTAAAAATGTAAGTACGAAAGAGTATAAGTAATGTAAATGCATTTGTGTATGAGTGTTTGCTTTTTATTAAAGGATCTAGTTCTGAACACACATCTATATTCATAAAAAATGTCTAGGAGAATATAAACAATGGCTTCCTTTGGGTATTGAGATACAGAATCTTTTCTTTTCACTTCATAGAATTCTAGACAATTTACACTTTCCCCCTAAAGAGATATTTTATTGCCTTCTGTGTTAAATTTTCCTTTCTTCTTTCCTTTTCTTTCTGCCTCTGTCCATCTATTTGTATCTCTCTCCCCTCTCTCTCCGTCCCTCTCTTTTCTTTCTTTCTTCCAAGGAAAAGAAGTGTTCCCACATACCTGCCTCCTGCCGCAGCAATCCCAAAGTATCAAGGATTCGACAAGCTTCCAGTGAACACTGGATCATTGCTTCTTTTTTCTTTCCTGAATGAATTGCCTCAGCTACCAGTTGTTTTCCGGTTGAATCATCCACAGGTAATCTGTATTGGTTTGGAGGGAATCACAGCACAGTACTAAGCTCCAATTCTCATGAAAAAAACTAATATGCTGTGATAATAGTCATTTTTTGACATGCCTTTTTAATCTCTCCATTCATCTCGTTCTATCTTACCAAGGTCAGACTTCAAATCTTTTCCTTAGACCTCTGACCCATCCCACCCCACATGCCAAATTATCAAGGCCCAAATTCAAGAAAAGCCTAAAAATAAGGCTAAAGTTACTCTTTGGGTTTGTTGTCTATAACCTGAAATTGACCATTTTTCAGAAATGGACATTAATGAGAACAGAACATACCTCACCCTACAGAGCCAAGTGCTATGTCCCTGTTCATCAAATTCATATTCTAGTTCTTCTCCTGTGGGAGGAAGAAAGACAAAACAATTTTAATAACATCTGAAAACTACTAGTTGAGACAAAGGGAAAAGAGAGGAAAGGTGAAGTAAGAGTATCAAGTTCCCGTACCACACTGAACACTAAATTTCAAAGCATTCCACTTCTTATTCCTACGGATTATCATCTGATAATAAAATTAGGATGAGCTTGGGGAGCCTGGGTGGCTGGCTTAGTCAATTAAGTGGCCAACTCTTGATTTCGGCTCAGGTCATGATCTCAACGTCCTGGGACAGAACCCTGTGCTGTGCTCTGCGCTCAGCAGGGAGTATGCTTCATGAAATCTCTCTCTCCCTCTGACCCTCCTGCTTGCTGTCTCATTTTCTCTCTAAAATAAATAAATAAATCCTTAAAAAAAAATTAGGATGAACTTGAGGCAAAGAAAAGCAAACTCAGATCAAAATAATCAACTCTCTAAAAACAGCTTTGTCCACTACATAGCAGCTTTCACACTTACTTAAGTTGTAGATGTAAGCTGTTAATTTGTCACAATTGCCTGGTTTTTAGAAGCATAAATATTAAGTGCAGAATGTAACCAATTCATATATATATTCATACACACACACAGATATTTTCTCAAAGCACCTCTATTGAAACAATCCTCTGTGGGAACATTCTTTAAATCATATAAAGTGGACATCCATGTTAAGAATTACAAAAGATCAGATGAATTAGAAACAAAAAATTTTAAGAAGTTAGGTCAATCTCCCCACCACCCAAGTTTAGGATCATTTGAGAAAGTCACAAAAAAAAAAAAAAAAAGGGCAATCCCTTTTTTCCAAGATGGGAAGACTAACAAGACTTTTACTATTTTCCAAATAAACCTGAAGCAATCGACCACAAGAGCAAGAACTGATTAAGGAGAACAGCAGATAAAATACAGCATTTCTAAGTACCCTGAAGATCTACAAAACAACACTGCTATGGATACCTTTTACTAGTAGGGTCAGAATCTGTTTACATACCTTCTCGGTCAAAAAAACCTTGGAGAGCCTTTTTTGGATCCTTTATATAAAAAGCCTCCCTTTCCTGCTGAAACTCTAAGACAATGGGGTTCTCTTCAGCCTCATCTTCTACAGCATCTTCTCCTACAGGAAAGAAAGAAAAGACAGACATAGGAAGAGACTGTCTTAATGACACCCACTTTCCATTCAGCCTGCATAAATATACAGTTATCAATGAAAAGAAAGGTGGGGGTGGGGGAGAAGGGGGCAAAGACAAAATCACCAGTATAAATATCTTGAGTTTTTCTAAATTGTGTGACAAATTAAAACTTGTTTTCATGGCACCTTGTTTTTGCTTTTTTCCTCCATCATTATATTTTATTTTATTATTTTATTTTTTTAAAGATTTTATTTATTTGACAGACAGAGACACAGAGAGAGAGGGAACACAAGCACCAGTATAAATATCTTGAGTTTTTCTAAATTGTGTGACAAATTAAAACTTGTTTTCATGGCACCTTGTTTTTGCTTTTTTCCTCCATCATTAT